TGAGACTTACTCGCTTCATTGAACTTACTTATATAAAAAGTAGGGCAAACTTCTTGATTTAGTCCTAAGGTCAAATCAAATGTGAATTGGATCAGAGAGGCAAAAGGTAATGAATTTTCTGGGGCATGCATCCCAAGGTATCCATGCCCCAGTGAAAGGAAGTTCCAGTTCCAAATGATCAACTTACATTATCAAGAATCAAGGGATTCATGACAAGAATAACTCAAATGAGTCTGGAATACAGTCTATTTTTATTTCTGTAACAGATTAATATTGATTCTAACCTTTGCTTGTACTCATTAAAAAAAAATTGCGTGCAGTTCCTGAGCACACACTGGCTAACTAGGCAGCCAAAACAAGGAATTTAGGTGTGTGCAAAAAAAGTAAGGGAAAGAATTAAGGATAACAGGTAAGTCTTGATGTGGAGTATATTCATTAAGAACATCAAGAATCCACAGATATCTATCTAAAACACTTGGAGTTCTTTGGCAGAAAAACATTATTTTAAACATAAATGTAAAATATCATCACCGCCGTCCAAAACAGCTTGCAGTTTTCAAAGATAATCACTTGATCCCTACTGGGCATTTCTTAAAGGGTCTGAAAATGAGTACTGCAATAAGTCAGATATGTTCTTTTTAAACATGATCATCATACTGTACACTTGATACTTATGCTGAGAGCTCAGATCTTCCTTTCCTAGTATAATTTTCATCTAAGCATTCCTTAGATACTTAGATCATTCTTAATGGAGATTGTGCATTATACCCTCTGTGGACACATAGAAATCTAGCTAATTGGACTTACTAGATTACAATAGTTAATGAATTCCAAGCTTAAGATATTGTTGTCACCTATTACGTAAATTTTTAAGATTGCAATCATTCACTAAACCAGTGTTTATAGGCAAAAGTTTTTTTTTTTTATCATTCTTTTCAATAAATAAATTTCCTTCACAGTCATCCTTCAGTATGCGGGATTGGTTCCAGGACCTCCAAGGATCCCAAAATCCACTGATACTCAAGTCCCTTATATAAAATGGTGTAGTACTGCATAAAACCTACACACATACTTTCATATATTTTAACTCATCTCTAGATTACTTACAATACCTAATGGAATATAAATTCTATGTAAATCATTGTTACATTATATTGTTTAGAAGAAAAGGCTATACAACATGTTTAGTACAGGCACAATCATTTTTTTTCCTGAATATTTTGATCTTCAGTTGGTTGAATCCATAGATGTGGAACCTATGGATAGAAAGGGCTCGCTGAACTTTCAAACTACATTTCTGTTCTTGGTGGTATAAAAACTGGGTGTCTTAATAAAGTTTGAAATGAACCTGTGGCATGAATAGTTATCATTCAAATGCTACAGAAATCGTAACTAAACATAAGCTTTGCAATAAAGCATTCTCTTTCAGCCCCAGCATGCCCATGAGAATGGCACAGCCTTTTACAAAAAATAACAAACAAACCAGGTGACGTGATGGACTATCTACTCATCAAATCCTTACCTGAACATTCTTAAACAATTTATATTTTAAAAGCATCTTGTTTCATATTAAATGTTGTATCCCAGAAATACCTTGATAAATTATTTCCTGTCTTGGTCAAAATAAGGTAGCTAGCCAATGATAATTTAGTACTGTCTCTTTAAGTGCTAGGAAGCGTACCTAATTCTAACGGTTACTATCCCCATATATTATACCTGTCAAAAATTGTTAAACTCTAATGAGTCAGATTGCTGAAAATAAACTCCACACTTCCATTTGAAAGTATGAAAGTAAACGCTGAGTGGGAAAAAGTTTACCCTCACTCCCAGTGTAAATGAGCACAGAGAGGAAGTAGAAAAACTCCAGCTATTTGCTATAGACACAAACATGCACTGACCTCTATGATCCACTAATGATGAATGCTCCTACCCCTAACATGAAAATGTTGGGAAAGGGAGGGGAAGAGAGAGGGCTGGAAGAAGAATGTTGTGTGCATATCTGCCATCTTCTCTCAGTACATACAAACAACAACAACAAAAACACCTCCTTCCATTCTTAGAGATTTCTTGCTTCTTTGAGAGCAGATTCGGAATGAGAGTGGACTCTGGGAAGGAAAGCTTTTCTCCTGTCCCCTCCACACCCTGGTGAAATCTCCTCCCTGCTGCAAAGCGGTGCGGTTACTGTTTGAGGGGCATAGCCCAGACACAGAAATCTGAAATTTCAAAAATGCGATAAAGCCCGAGCCCGGCAGCCCTGGGAGGCGAGCAGCTGCTGGGTGACCGCTGATGAAGTGGCTTCTTAAGGAGGTGGGCAGATTGATTCCAGCTGCTGAGCGCAAGGCAGGGCAGCGGCTCGGAATGCACAGCCCGGCTGAGACAAGACTCAGCAGCAGCTTCCCAGGCAAGGGCAAGGCCAGATAGTAGCTCTGTTTGCAGTCCTGAGAAAAGGAAGGAAAATGCCACTGTTTCATCCAACAGGGGGACTTTCAAGGCAGGATGGCCCAAAGGTGCCATGTGAACAGTGTCACTTCGTAAGTGGAATGTCACTCAGAAAATCTGAAAGCTGTCCTCTGAGATGGCTGTTCAGAAGGTCCCACAATTCCTAAGATGAGTCCTTTCTGCCTGATTCCTGTTTTTCTTCCCCCTCTGGCTCCCAGCTCCTGGTATCCTTCTAATAACTCTAAACTCCTGCTCAGCCTCCCTGGCTCCCCATCCCATATAATCAATACACAAGAAGGACTCCAGAGGCAGACATGGAGGAGGTGAAGAAGACCAGCCGGAGACACTGAGCACCCTGGAGCTGACCTGGATGGGGACAGTGGAGAGGACATGTTCTTCGGAAGAGCTTGCTTCAAAGTGGGAGAGCTAAAAGCAGAGAGGGGGACTAGTTTAGGAGTCCCCTGAGGGCCCCAAACTCAGACAGCAAGTGATCTAAGAAGAGGGAAGGAGTAAGAGAGGTAGGCTGGCATGAAGGCACGCCTAATGCAATATTCAATATCCTGAGAAATGTACTTTCGGCCCTGCACTTCCAGAGACTAAAAGCCAGTAATGGGCTTTGGAGTCTGCACTTCCTCTCCCTAATGTCCAGAGGCGCTTTAATGCTGCAGCCAATCGATCAGCCTTCTCCGGTGAAGGCGACGAGTGGAGTGCAAAAGCTTCCTACTTGTGGCCAAAATCCACCCAGCCTCTTCTGCACACCCCAAACAAGCTACATACAACTTTGAACTGGTAGGATTTGTGTCTTAAAGTGCTGGAAAGTAAGAAAGGAAGGAGCCCTGGAGGCGTCCAGAGAAACAGACTACCCTCACCCCTCCGCCCTCTTCATCCCAACTTTTCCAGGAAGGGATTCAGAGGAAAACAAAAACGGAGGGCGTAGTATCCATCTTGGGACAGGGCTGAGGAGCAGACCCAAATCTGCTTCAGGTGCAAGGTCACCGAGCAGACTCCAAGCACAGGGCAGCCCAAGGTATCGCACTTCTGGAAGACACACAATCAGAGCAAAGGAACGTCCAGAAGGTGGGGTTTCTTTGCAATGTCTTGCTGACATCACAGCTGCCTTGAAAGTGACCCTGTGAATAAACCCTCTCTCCGCCTGGCCCCATGCTCCAGGCTGGATCCCTGCCCTACAGACAAGCCCCTGTCCCGCCTCTCCCCTGCCGTCCCCGAGCCCGCCAGCAGAGCTCGGGTTCTGGGCAAGTTCAGTACCTAAGTTGAACCCAACCCTATCCAGCCTCCACTCGCCCCTCCCTGGGAGGCCCGGACAGCCCCACTGAGCATGTCCAGTGGCCTGAGTCCCGGGGCTGCCACTGCGAAGCTCTCCAGGCCCCCGAATGGGCAGGGTTGGGTGCCTGCGTGGACGCCCCCAGCAGGGCGCACGAGGGACAGCCGCGCGACTGCAGCCGAGTGTGGAGGGCACAAGTTAGCTCGCGCGAGGAAACTTTCCGCGGTGCTCCTCCCCACCCCCACAAGCCACAGGGGCGCGTCTCCCCGAGGAGCTCGCCTTTCCCAGCCCGGCGGAGACAAGCACAGCACGTGATGGGCAGAAATAAAAATAAACACTTCCCATTCCCGGGCCGCGGGGCCACCCCCACTCCGCGCGCCGCAGCGAGCGAACAGGGGGCGCCCTAGGGCGACCCGCCCCCGCCGCCGCCGCAGCCCCCAGCCTCTGCGCCGCCTGCCTGCCGGGACCTGCACCCGGGCCCGCGGCCTCCGCGCCTACCTTTCGGACTTGGTGAACTTCCGGAACGCCTGTCGGAGGTCGTGGAAGGACCTGTACGTCTGCGGCTCCGCCGAGATGCCTTGCGCCCGGGTGGTCCGGGGGCCGATGTGGGTCGAGGGCACGGGCAGCACCGACTGGCATTTGTGGAGTTTCCTCTTCAGCTCCTGGATTTCCTCCTCCTTCTCTGACAGTCGCTTCTCCAGCTCTTTGATCCTCTCCTCCTTGAGCATGAGAATCTTGGCAAAGTCTTCCTCCAGCTCGCTCATTTTCTCAGAGCCCCTCCGCGAAACTTTTTCTCGGGCGGCGGCGGCGGCGGCGGCTGGGACGGCAGCCGGGAGCGGCGGACGCGGGTGAGCGAGTGAATGGGCGCTAAGTACTCGAGCGCCGCGGAGTGCCCCCTTAATGCGGCGCGGGGAGCCGCCTGCTTCGATCCGCTTCTGCTGAATGGACTAAAAGCACCGAGGGGAGGATGAGAAGTCTAAAAGCGATGGAGAGGAGAGGCAGAGTGCTAATCTCCAGCCTCTCCCGGGAATAGGTGATTATCTTTCATTGAGAAACCAATTAGAGCTGCCCTTCCTCCCCTGAGACCCCCTCCCCCGTCCCCCTTTCCCAGTCGCTCCGTGAGAATACGCGCGCGCCACCCCACCAACAGCCGAGTTGCTAGCAGACGGTTGGATCAGAGAGCCTGGTCCCACTCCATCACACAAAACTCACTCTTCCACGCTATATGGTACCAAGGGAAGGGGGTGGGGTGGGGGGGAGCTTTATGCCACTTGATCCTTGAAATAGCAACAATTACCATGTGATCTGGCGGATGACGCAGCGCTTGTAACTGGATCCTAAAGAGTGTGAGTGTGTGTGTGTGTCTGTGTGTGACATTTCATAAATATTAAACTGCCTTTAGACAGTAACCTGCATAAATGCGTCTTGGTCTTCGCCTTTTACTTCTGTTCTTGATGCCTGGATGGATTCAGTAAGGAAGGGGTGTGTGTGTGTTTGTGTATGTGTGTGTGTGTGTTACTGTGAAGTCCCATGGTTGTGACCCCAGTAAGAATGATAGGGCAATACCAGTTCCAAGGTTTTTCAGCATAAAGCCTTACTGGACATAGTGAACTAAAATTGTTGGTGGGGAAGTTGGTTGAACATATGTTAATGAGCCAAATGATTACGGAGAAGAGAAAGACCATACGTTAATTGTAAACTTTTTGTGTCTGGCTTTTTTTTCATCTACTACCGTTGGTTCAATGTTATATAGAGAGCATCCAAATTATATCACAACCTCGTCCTCAGTGGCTCTGAAGTGGTGGCCACCAGTGTTAAGCTGGGTCATCCTACCAGTTCCAGTTTGGGGGAAGAAATTGCATCTTTAATTATCTGTGTTTAGGTCTTACCTGTGCATCCACCATCTACCCTAGGCTAAAGGGATTATTATTCGACACAGTAGAATAATAGGGTATTCACAGATTCTTATACTTTCCTTTTTTATCTGTATATATCACAGAGAGTATTTATTTGAGAGTTTGATTTGGTAGTGAGTGAGAGGTATTTCTTCAGATAATAGTCAACACATTAATAAATGTTTTTTATGAATAGTTGCAAAAAGATACCAAAAGATTCTTTCCTAAACAGTAGCCTTCCTTAAAAAAAGAAAAATCAATGTATAATTACTGGCTACTTACAAAAAAATTAAAAAAATAGTCGCAACAAAGATACCAAAAAGATTCTTTCCTAAACAGTAACCTTCCTTTAAAAAAGAAAAATCAATGTATAATTACTGGCTACTTACAAAAAAATTATTCTACCATGTCTGAAACAACTAAGTAAAGGAAAAACAAGTGTATATGTTATTTTGGAGATTTGTTTATTATTTACTGTTCTACTTACCTGATTATTATACATTAAAAATGTTTTAAACCACATCTGAATTTCTTAATTGCACCAGATGCTAAAGTCTGGCTACATCTACTGATGTTTGAGAAAGGGTTCTCTATGTTGTTGACAGTTGCTATTCTGTTGCTTCCGTCTATTAATCTGCTATAATCCTTTTATAAAAACTAAAATAATTGACATTTTAAAATAATACATTAGAAAAAAACTTTGATCACATTCAAAAATCTCTGCATAGCTTCAAATAAATCTATTTACAGAAGAAATAAAAATAGTGTTAAAATAACTCTTAAAAGGTTTTTTCCAAGTCTTACATTATAAGTGAAGATATTCAAATGTTTCTTCTGCTTATTAAAAAAAGGAACCTTTAAACTTAGATTTCAAACACACACCTGAAAACCCTAAATTCATCCCCATCTTCCAAAATAAAAGTTATTTTTTAATAAGTCAGTTTTAATTTAAATAATGTTGATTGCTAGTGACATTAAATCTTGTCCATTGGCTTAAGAAGTATTTAATTTAGACCATAAGGAAACCTTGAGAAAAGACATGCTGGTAGAAGAATAAACACTGAATTATTAAAAATCATGTCATAGTACATTAGAGCTGAAGAAACTTTGAAGATGATCTAACCCAACAACCTCATATTATAAAGGAGGAAAATTAGATCTTGAGAGGAAAAGTCCAAGATCACTTCAAGGGCAGAAGTTTGAGCCCAGGACACCTAATACCTATGAAGCATGCTTTCCCTCTCATGTTGCTGCTAGCGTAGATCCCGAAAATTTAGAAATTTTATGATTCTGATGATTCAGTGTTGAAAGATGTGACCTTACCCTCTGTTGCTTACTTCTAAATCTGTAGTAATAACATTGTCAAAGCAGGGGTATTAATGAAACCATAGATTTTTTTTTCTTAAAGGAGAAGGTCGCCATCTAGTGCCCTTGGAGAAATTTGCTAAATAAAAATCTCAATTACAATGAAGTTGGGGTTATGTCCTTAAATACCTGTCCCAGTGTTTTCATTTCATATTTGTGAGAAATAAAGAAAAGATGCAGAATTTTGTGTCAGACTAAAAATCTTTTGTTTTTACATTTGATATCTTTTAGCCTGGATGATGACAATGATGACTGTCAACATTTATTGAGTATTTAATATGTGCCAGCCCACGGCTAAGCCCTTTGTGTAACTGATCTTAATCTCCACACTTACTCCGTAAGATAGGCACTAGTACTTATTTCTGTTTTATACATGGAGAAGCTGATGCTTGGCCAGACTAGATAATTTACCCGTGGCCACATTTTCCAGATTTGACCCAGGTTGTCTTAATACTCTATGCAGCACTGCTTCCACTCAAAATGCATTAAAATATTCACTTCTCGGTGAGCCCAGGTGACAAGCAAAACTAAAATAACTTTCTCAATGGAGCACAGTAAGTGTAAAAATCACATATAAACCCAGATAAATTCCTAAGATTCTAGTGTTTAACAATCAATTTCCTTACCGGAGTTGTTTTCCTTGCGATATTTTGGGATATACTACACATTTCATATATAATTCCAATTTTTGAAAGCACAGATGCTTAAAAATTGAAATTATATATGAAATGTATAATATATCCCAAAAGGACACTTTCTAGAAAGGCTGAAAGTGTATAAGATGTAAGCAGCTCTTCTGGGATTCCTGTACTTTAATCCAGGACAGCGTCACAGTGGTCAGTGAGAGGACAGGTCTATACAAAACTTAAAAACAATAATAAAACTGACTAAAAGTTAACCTGCTTTTTATTGCCTCTATTTACCAGAAGTTACAAGTATCAGTAATAGAATATTCCTCCCCCTCCCAAAAATATTCTCTTGGTCTAAGTACAAAGGATTACTGTGTCTACTGTTGAACAGGTGGACCACACTCATCACCCCACCCTTTGGAATAACACTGACCTTGGTGCATATTGTACACATTCAGACCAAAGAAAATTGTCATGTGCAGGGGGTTTTAGTGAGCTTCACATGGATAGCAGCAGAAAAGCTCATAAATGAGGTTTGGGGAAGTGAAAATAGAGTTTGTGAAACGGGTAAGGATTCCCAAAATTCAAACCTTATCTTTAGTCCCAAATACTTGCTGTGGTCATAAAAAATGAAAAGACTTGTGAAAGACTGGAAGCAATACATTTTGCACCAACAGATGCAATTGGTGAACTAATGAGTACTGAACTTAGAACCAAAAGATTGATATTCACATCTCAGTTCTGTCACTTCTTGAGCTGTGTGCCCTTAGGCAAGTTCCTTAACTTCTCTGAGATCACTTTCATCATTTGTAAAAGGAGTTACCTAGGGTCCCTTTTACCTTGCTACCTTCAATGGTTCTATGGAACTCCACTTACCCTGTGACTCACATTCTGAAATTATCAATCTCTTCTTATAGACAACATCCATCCAGTAACTTGAACTATGTTTAAGACTTCGAGAAGAAAGAGTTAATATGGAATCTCATTGGTCCTGTAAAAATTACTGTGTACTGTTTGATTAATAGAATATTATTTTCTATTCATTCTATATCATGCTAAATGTGGCTTTAACATTGTCATCTGAACCAGCCATGTTGTTTTGATCATAAAGTGTGGTCACACCTTGGGCAAGATAAAATCTTGAAGTCCTGAAACACACCCACATTGATATTAACCAACACACAGAAAATGAAAATAGCAAATGAAATGTTGCCTTAATTAAACAAACTTCAAAAATAGTTGGTTTCTGTTTACTGCATTTCCATAAAGAATCCTAAGATTTATATATATTTTTTGAGACAGAGTCTTGCTCTGTCACCCAAGCTGGAGTGCAGTGGCGTGATCTCGGCTCACTGCAACCTCTGCCTCTTGGGTTCAAGTGATTCTGCTGCCTCAGCCTCCCAAGTAGCTGGGACTACAGGTGTTTGCCACCATGCCTGGCTAATTTTTGTATTTTTAGTAGAGACAGGGTTTCACCATGTTGGGCAGGCTGGTCTCGAACTCCTGGCCTCAAGTTATCCACCCAACTTGGCTTCCTGAACTGCTGGGATTACAGATGTGAGCCACTGTACCCAGCCCACAACAGTAATTTTTTCCAAAAACATAAGCTCCTATAGAAAAATGTATATAAATTATTTTCACAATGTGGTCCTATTGATGTAAATCAAATTCTTTCTCATGTAGGCATACAAGAAGACCATTGCCTTTTATTATTTTCTGTGATATCTGTCTATGGGTTTAAAAAAAGTAGTTCTTTTTAGAGATCTTGAAAAATAAAACTGACCTAAAAATGCTGATATTTAATATATTATAGAAATAAAATTCTGCAGTAAATTTAAAACCATGGACCTAAAATTTGGAGACAAGGATGCCATGTATCTTGAGGAGGCCAATAATTTCATCCCCCTGAGACTCAATTATCCCAACTGTAAAGTGTAGATATAGATACCAAATTCTCCTGCACCTGGTAAGAATCAAATGAAGAGGAAAGCCAAATATCATTTATTATTTAAATGTAACCCTATATAAATAAATATAAGTAACATGGTAATGTAATCCGTTCTTTGATTTTTTGGTAAGAGGATAGCTCACCAGGGGAGAGAGTAGGGGATGGGCACAGGATTGGTGGTGGTGGTGGTAGTGGTGAGAATGTTTGTACTGCATTTATATCCCCAAGATTTCCATCCCTGGTGGCATCTTCTCCCAGTTACTCAATCAATGCACAATCCAATACTAATAAAAGGGATGCCGTGAGAGAATTTTTAAACGTAATTAACATCTCGAGTCATTTGACTTTAATGGAGGAAAATTATCTGTGTGGGCCTGACCTTATTAGGCGAGTCCTTAGAAGAGATCAGCTCCTCTTGAGATAGGGATTTGAAATGCGATTGGGATTGGACTCAAGAGAGATCTCCTGTTACTGGCTTTGAGAATGGAGCAGGCTGCATGGCAAGGAATGCAGGTGGACTCTAGGGGTGTAAAGCAACTCCTAGTTAACATCCAGTAAGGAAGTGGGGACCTCAGTCCTACAACAGCAAGAAACTGAATTCTGTCACAATCTCATGAGCTGGCAAGAGGACCTGTAGCTCCAGGTGAGAAAGAAGAATGGCTAACATTTTGATTTCAGGCTGTGAGTCCCTGAGCACAGATCCTAGTCATGCTGCTGTACCCAAACTTCTCACTTCCAAAACTGTGAGATAAGTTGGTTTTAAGTCTCTAAGTTTGTGGTAAAATTTGTCAGGAAACAAGTAAAAACTAATAAATGACTCGACTACCATTTAAAAAATATCCTTTAAAAACACTAGAAATGTAATCCATTTTCAGAAGACTGCCTTACCAAAAGGGTCCTTTTCAGTGAAACTATAATGCATTTCTAATGGATGCTTGAGCAACATTAAACATTGCTATAAATTATAAACTGCTTACAGCATACTGATGACAATATGAACAGCCTTCCATAAAAGATGTTTATGTGTAAAGCAGAACACTAATGTGACTGAAGTGTAAATCTTCCAAACATACGTTCTAGAAAGGATTGAAACCATTCATTAAACTACTACACAGCAGAAATATAACTGTAATTTCCCTATGTAGAGAATCAGTCTTGTGACTTAGAACAAATACATAGTTGGCTAAGCCTTAGTTTTCTTATCTGTAAAATATCAACAAATCTCTTGTGTAGTATTATTTATTT